AATGGTTATGCATGTATCATTATAGCCTGTTGCTTTTAGTTCTTTTGGATAAATACTGCAGATTGGTATATCTTGGTCATGTGGTGGTTCCATTCCCAGTCTTTTTTTTTCTTTCTGTATTGGGGATTGAACTCAGGGGCACTTGACCACTGAGCCACATCCCAAGACCATTTTTGTATTTTATTTAGAGACAGGGTCTAACTGAGTTGCTTAGCACCTTGCCATTGCTGAAGCTGGCTTTGAACTAATGATCCTTCCGTCTCACCCTCCCAAGCCTCTGGGATTACAGGTGTGCACCACTGCTCCTGGACATTCTTAGTCTTTTGAGGAATCTCCACACTGCTTTCCAAAGTCGTTGTACCAATCTGCAGTCCCACCAACAATGTATGAGTGTATCTTCTCCCTACATCCTCACCAGCAATTATTATTATTTGTATTCTTGATGACTGTCATCTTAACAGGAAAAAGAAAAACTGTAGTTTTCATTTGCATTTTCCTGATTGTTAAGGATGTTGAACATCTTCATATATTTTTTGGCTATTTGTAAAATATCTCCATTTTTAAGACTGTCTTTGCTCTATTAAACCAAAAGAACATGCCGAGGGTCCTAAATTACCTTTCATTTAGAATTAGTAAAACTAATAACTCAAAGTTCTTCAAAAATGACTATAAACTGCTCTCTTCAAGGGATGCATATCAAAAGTTTGCAAAGCTTTCCTTAATCGTTTGCCTATTTTACAATACTTCTAACAGTGTGACTTACTGATTCCACTTGTGGTTTGAGATTTAAATCCTGAGCTGTGTATTTATGAATTTTAACCACAGCAGAATCATCCAAAAGTTGCTGATTTAATGTCTAAATTTCTTCAATATTTAACATGTCTGTGAATTGCTCCCTGAGTCATTTAAATCATACAGACCTGTGTTTGCAAAAGGAATGGAAGTGCAATTGCTGGGCTGGGAGTCTTTTTCTCGGAAAGGAAGAGTACAAAAATAACTAGAGAGCAGATATGCGAGGGAGTTTTTTTTTTTTTAATATGGAAGAAACTTCAACAGAAGAATTATGGAACTCCCTTCAGGAGGATAAAAGAGAATATAATGGAGAAGTGAATGGCCAGTGTCTGCTAAAGAATAAGAAAAGGTTTAAGAACTCAGGAAAAAACTAAAAAGAACATTACCTGCATTGTCAAATGCCTTGATTTAATGAGGCCATATCCAAATGAGGGGCTCTGAAGTTTTGAGGCAAGTTCTGACCAAGAAGCGTGCCGAGCCATTTCTAAGTATCTGTGCTTTGAAGTCACACCACGAATTCCAATGCTAGCTCCCCTATTTAGAGATGTAACCTTGGGCCAACTAAACAATGTCTCCTAACCTCAGTGTCCTCATCTGTAAAATGGGGATATCTACTGTGCTTGTTGCTTCAGGACTGTAGTGAAAAGGAGAGATTTGAATGAGATTCTGTGGGCAGAATAAGCATTCTATATAAGCTCTATAAATCTCTCACTATTTTTAGAATCATAACAATGGACTACTAAGGCAAAGCATTCTAAATAACCCCATGAAGATCTCCATGAGAGAAAGCTGTGGTAAAGGCTTTAGTAGAATGAAAATAACTCATGAACCTGTTAAACACTGTGGTTTTCTTACACTGAATTTTCTTATACAAAGTTGCACTGCTATAAGCAGAAGAAACTGAAAATAAATAGGATGAGAGATTGCTAAAAGTGCTTCATAAATTACGATGTTTCATGAATATAGCTATTGAACAGGACTGTGGGGGTTTTACTTAAGAAAAAGAGATTTTGGTGAACTTGAAAGCTCTTTAAGAAAAGGATACTTGGGTAACTCTGCCAGCAGTTCATTAGTCTAGGTGTGCCCCTATTAATGACCCTGCCCTCTAGGAAAACTTGAAGGAATCAGAAAGATGGGCTTCATGATGTCACTGGGTGAGCCCTGTGACATCACAAGGCTGTACAACATTTAAAGTAATTCACTTTCAGAAATGTGTTACCTTTCTTCAAGAGTGCACCTCCCATGTCAAGTGAAGCACAACTGAACACCAGTTAAAATTCAAAGAAATTTTCTTTCCATACACTCACACATATTATCAGTGAGTATCAATTAGGAGAAACTCACAATGAAAGGGGAGAAAAAGACATGTGTGGGGTTGCCGAGTATTAACATGGTAATTAAACCAGTAGCTGGCAAATACAGCAGGAAAACATTCAAAGGCAATTTCTGGCCTGGGACATCTACTCAAAAGATGCGGCAAGACAGGCAGAATTTATGGCATTGTCAGAGGACTCTAGTGAGCAGGAGATTAAAGCCCCAAAGAAGGAAAAGCAGTTAGAGACAGGCCACGCCCTGTGGGTGTAGTTGCGAGTCAGGGAGGATTTTAACACGGCAGCCATGAAAACACTGTCCATAAGTTTGGAGAGTTCCCACTTCTATCGCTGTGCATGCTTTCCAAGCACTTGTCCACACATCATCTCATGTGGCCTTTCCAGTTGCCACAGGTGGCAGGCACCCTGTTCATTTCATAGATTCTGGAAACTAAGGCTCCGAGGGGTTCACACATGGACCACAAGATTCATGGTACAGCCTAAGTGAGACCCTAGGTAATGTGATTTCTAACACAGTGGTTTTTTTTTAAACAAAACAAAAAAAAAAAACCTGAAAAAACAACTCAAGAAGTATTTCACTATTTATCCTTTTAAAAATGGATTTTAGCCAGGTGTGGTGGCGTATGCCTATAATCACAGTGGCTCTGGAGGATGAGGCAGGAGGATTGAGAGTTGAAAGCCAGCCTCAGCAACTTAGTGAGCCAGATCTTGTCTCAAAATAAAAAATAAAAAGGGATGGGACATGACCCCGTAGTTAAACGCCCCTGGGTTCAATCCCTGGTACAAAAAAAACAACAACAAAACTTTAATTGCACAGCTACTCAACAGCAATATTTATCCAACAAACCAGGCTCCCAGAAACTTCCCAGTGGTCAAAATTTTAGATGATGCAAGAGTATATGCATATAAGTATATGCACACTATTGTGCAAATATGGTGGATTGGACAAAACAGCTTATCCCATGGTGATGAAGCCTGATTCCTGTCTGCCTCCTCTCAAGGTAAGAGGGCATTTCCACCCAAAGATGAAGGTTCATGGACAGGACCACATGGTAGCACAAAACCTGGCTCCAATTGTATGGCAATCATTGAGCAGCCATAGAATGGTCTGATAGGAATGAGACTTTTCTGTTCTTCTTCTTGCCCTGTGACAAGTTTTGATGAGAAGAGTTGACCAGGATGGATGGAAAACACAGACAATCTCAGCATTATTTAAGGATTGAACATTTATACACACTTAAAAGGTCAGTTAAGCTCCCAATCCTAATGACAACTACTGATACTCAGCAAACAAACAAAGCTTCTCAACTCTGAGCTTCTCAACCCTGACCTTTGAGAACTTGAAGGAAGTTTGGCTGATATTCATTCATGCATGCATCCATCAAATCGAGTGCCTAACTGTGTGCAGAGTGTTACTCTGGCACTGAGAATCTATCCACTTGCCCTTACGGAGCTCTCATTCTAGAGGGAAGGGACAGCAAACTTTAAATCTATTCCTAGGTGGAAGTATATAGAGATGAGGCAGATAAGCAGGATGAGGGTAGCACCATAATAAAAGCACGGCCTCTGTCTACAAAGCAGTAATAAATGTCAAGATGGATAAGACATCTGAATAGATGTATAATGAAACTCAGCATCAGAAAGTTCCAATCTGGCAAACGGGAAAGGATACCACATAAAAAATGGTGGGTGAGATCTCCAAAGCCCACATCCTATTTATAACAACTAACCTACCACCGAACTTTTAAGTATCTATGGCATTTTCTAGGACTCATGCTCCACCAATCCTACTCCTAACATAGCCAAGTGTTTTATCCTGAGGACAAATGAAACACGCACCAGACCGACAACATATCCCTAGACTCCCATATCACATCCCAAGAACCAAAACGTCCAATATGAAGAGAAATTATTCTCAGATTTAGGAATCTTAGGTGAAAACTTGCCTTTAAAAAACTATCACATCTATACCCAAAGGACTTAAAAACAGCATGCTACAGGGACACAGCCACATCAATGTTTATAGTAGCACAATTTACAATAGCTAAACTGTGGAACCAACCTAGATGCCCTTCAGTAGATGAATGGATAAAGAAAATGTGGTATATACACACAATGGAATATTATTCAGCATTAAAAGAGAACAAAATCTTGGCATTTGCAAGTAAATGGATGGAGCTGGCAAATACAATGCTAAGTGAAATTAGCTAATCCCCCAAAACCAAATTCGGAAATGATTTCTCTGATTTAAGGATGCTGATTCATAATATGCTGCAGGGTTGTGGGGTGGGAGGATTAAATGAACTCTAGATAGGGCAAAGGAGAAAAGGGGAGGGAGGGGAAGGGAGGAGGCATAGGGGTAGGAAAGATGGTGGAATGCGATGGTCCTCATCACCCTAAGTACATGTATGAAGACACAAAGGATGTGACTCTACTTTGTATACAACCAGAGATATGAAAAATTGTGCTCTGTATGTGTAATATGAATTGTAATGCATTCTGTTGCCATATGACAAAATTTTAAAAAACGATCACAAATTATGATAAAAGCACAAATTGTTCATCCACATGAGACAGACTGAGTAGATTACAAATGATTTTTGTATGAATTTACATTTTTCTACTGTTACTTTCCTTTCCTACATGTGCCTCTGTGCTTAATATTAACTCATAATTATGCATTCCTCTAAAGAGGAATTTATTACTTTGTTGATATGCAAAAGTAGCTAAAATTGCATTAATTACCCTTATTTAAGGATCTCTGACCGCACAAGCTTTGAAAAGTTATAAAAACAATATTTTTTTTCATGGCTATTGCAAAAACTAAGAACAAAAGAGAAAACAACCCATTGGAAGTAAGAGCAGTGTCCTACTTACCCGGAATAGGAATAATAGGAATACTTTCATTGGGGACCACCCGAGGTGAACTGCTATCTTCCACATAGAAATGAGCGGTCTGGAAACATTTTCTGTGAGGAAAACAGAAAAACACATTAACAGTGCAATCAGAGAAACACACTCGGAGTTCATTTTATAATTATTTCACAGATTTCCCCAGTTTCCTGCATCACATAGCCCTGGGGGCAAGCCCGTGGGAAAGTTGCAAGACACAAGCAGCACAACATTCAGCGGACTGAAGCAGATAAATATACGTTTTATATCATAGCCACATCCAGCCCTGGAGTAAAAGGGGAAAGACTTGGTAGCCAACCACTCCAATATGTGAAAACTTGACTTGGACAAGGTATACTCACTGCACAAACCACAGGATCACCCCCGGGTTATTTTTAGATTTGACCTATTCTAAACCTCTAGCATCAAGTTCAAAACCACACCTCAGATGCCCTCCATGTAGTAGTCATCCAGCAGCCCAACTCCACAAAAGCACCACATTGTTTGTGCTAAGCCAAGGCTCTTGAAGCCTCAGACAGCTCTCTAAAGGGGTCACAGGGCTTCCAGTGGGCAGACATGCCAAAATCTGAGGCCCTTACTAGATGGCGTCTAAGACAAGGGCCTGAAGCCCTCCAGTGTCCTCTGCTTATTTTTCTTTTTACCTGTACTTCAAGCAAAGCAGGGAGCACACGCTGGTCATCACAGGACAGGCAGCAAACAGAAAAGCCATCAGCAGCCTGCTCAGCCTCTGCCCACTGATGCTGGCTAGCCCTCAGCCTCCCAGCATCCGCGTCACTGCGGCCCTAATGAGCTGCCGGAAGCACAGGCTGAATATTTAATGAGGCTGCTCAGTGTGAATGGCTATTGTGACCAGAGAAGGGTCCCTGTTCATCTGGCGGAGGGGCTTTACAATAGCAGGCCCTACTGCTGGGTCTTTTAGCCAAGCAGGCGGCATCCTTCTGGTGCTCTGTGTCACTGGGATCTGTCCCACCCCTCTGGCGTCTCACACCAAGCAACATTTACACACACACACACAATTTTTTTTTTCTTCTTCTTTCTCTGTATTGGATCCAAATTTCAACTACTAGAGTAAGTCAACTTTTCCTTGGAGTGTCTTTGCTTGTCTAATCAAAAGCATTCTGGGATGATTCTGCTGGATACACTGTGTTTCTACAAAGTTAAAAAAGGGAATTAGAGGGTAAGAAGAAAAAAAAGAGCTCATACAGATTTTTCCATCTCCACTTTCTACTGGGCTATTGTAACCATTTCCAATTGGAAATGATCAAATGTGACAGTATAATGTGCTTTTCTGAAGTGGTGGCTATTCTCTGACAGAAAGTAGCTCGAACCAACTTTACATGTCGGTACTCTTCTAGAATCAAACCAGATTCCTCCTCCATACCCTTAGGAGGGGTCCTGAACATAAACGACACCAACTCTTGGCACATGTCACTCAGGACCACTCTTGTAGCTGAGGAACAATGATTTCTTCCAAGAATGACATGGCATTTGTAATCCAAACAGTTAAGAAAAGAGTTTCTCTCTCTTCACTTAGTTATCTTTACCTAAATTTGGCATTAGCACTAGCCAGACTTAAGCTACATGGGTATGAAATGGGCAAGAAAGAACTCTGGTGTGGCCACATCCATTAAATGAATAATGATGGAAACATGTCAAAAGCATATTCTGTTGTTTGAAATAATAGGTTTTTTTCTGTTTCTAAATTATGAAGTTTTTTTTTTTTTTTCCTGCCTCACTCACCTCCCCAGTGAGCACAGACAACCAGAAACTGCCAGTGAAGTGAAAACACAGGCCACGGACTTCACAGTGAGATGGAACCATAAGTGACTGGTGTCTAGCTAAGGAAAATCAGCTTTTGCAGAGTTAAAGCCTCACCACTCAATAGCCCCTAAAAGTGCCTTAAGTCACTGGAATGAGGGGCACACAATTTACCAGGCTAGAAATTATTAAAATAATTTCTATTTTAAGACCATAATTACCATGCCTATTCAGTTCCTAAAACATAACGTGAGTACTAGTAGAATCACGGCAGGCCAAGTCACTATTAAAGCCCCGCAACTTTGGAACAGACTGTACAGTAGCTTTGTTTATTTTCTGGAAAAACAGGCACATAGTCCAGCCGGTCTCTCAGTTACATGTGGAATGAAAGGATCCACATTATCTTGGGCGGGGGGGAGGAAAAAAAAAAAAAGCAGTGTGTACTGAAGCAGATCACACTCCAGTGCCCCATGTGTTGCTGTTTATAATGGATTTTCCCTGGAGCAAAATAACTCTGATTGCCAGAGAAAAAGCACACAACTGCAGATGAGGGTCAGAAACTCCCGGACAAAGCTCTGTACATCTGCACCTTGCTGCACATTGCGCACACTTTCCTCCCATAAAAAAGACGTGGGTGGGCAGCTCGCGGCACAACTTGGCAGGTGAGGGCTTCCGTAAGAATGACGGTTTCAATGCATTCAGGAAACTCTCATTCAGCATCCACTGCACCACACTGGGTGTGCAGAGAACATTCTCTACTGTCTGCAATCCTAAACCACTGCCTTAAACCTGGCGAAGCACTGGAGTAATTTATAAAGATTTACATAAGGATCAGATGAACTTGGCAGAGAAATTAGGAAACAGGAATGAACAAAAGGAAAAAGACTTAAAATCACCCCTAATCCCTCTCCTTGTGATCATCACTGTTAATACTGGGGGCATATCCTTCCCCACTTGTCCTCATTTATTGAGTGAGTGATCCTTGGTCATGTGCAATAAAGACCAGGATGATAGAAGACAAAAGGCACTGTCCTCATGACCATCCTGTTTTCCTGCAGAAAACAGCAGGGGTAGGAATCAATCACAAATTTGAAAACCAATACTTGCAAATAGTCAGAAACTATTAAAAAAAAAAGAACTACGGGGTGAAGGAAGGGACTCTGCCAAGGAGGCAGCATTGGAGCTGAGACCCAATCATGGAGGATGAGCTCTCGAGTTACAACGGAAGACCACTCTGGCAGATCTGGCAGCTAGTGGCAGCACCTAGGAGCAAAGTAGGCCCAGAAGATGTAGGAATGGAAAGGCAGCCAGAAAAGGCTGGACAGGGGGTGGGAGCCTATCATGCAAGGGCCAGGAGCCCCCAAAGGGCCTTGGCTGGTGTCTAAGGGCAATAGAAGGCCAGGGAGAGCTTTCATCCATGGAGGGACACATTCAGGTTCACCTCTTTTAAAAACCTCATTTGGGCTGCTCTGTGAGAAACGGATTATTTGGCAGCAAGAATGGAACTAGGAAATCAATCAGAGGGCTGCTGTTGTAATGTCACCCAATTTCTGACAGATGGCAGTTTTCTGCTTTTTCAATTTTTTAATAACAAAGTGCAGTCGAACTATACACATCTCCTTGATAACAAATACAGTTGGCATCAGAATTGCTAATGTTTTCTTAATCTTCCATTTCATGGAGATACTACATTGTTGGTATTTAATTTATTGCTTAGGGGTCCACTCTGACCCAGGCACTGATGAGGGTTTTTCACTACCCCACAACACTGTGATGATCCCTTTGCATGCTCCAATTCCCCACGGTGAGCTTAATATTTCAGAAAAGCAGCTGGACATTGCATTTTAATTTGCTCATTTCTGAGAAGTCCCATGGGGAAAAAAATTGTTTCTTGACCATTAGAAGTGTCTTAAGAAAACAAAAAGAAAAAAAAAAAAGAGCCAACAAAGGGATCTTGGAGAACAGGAAAAATACCCACAAGTTTTAGTGCCTCTAAAACTTCTAACCTGTGACAAGTTCCAACATGCAGGTACTATATCTCCAATTCCAAATTCAGAGGAATGGAGACAGAATTTCTGAAATGGCTCCAGTGTGCATGGAGTTCCAATTTTCTATTTATCTTGATCTAATTCTCTTTCAACTAGCTTAATCCTAAAAGTTCCTTCAAGTGAAACAAGTTCCTAGGTCACCAAGAGCAATCGTCTAAAATGATCCTTACTTCCACAGTGAGCACGTTTACACAAGTATCATCAACAGGGAAAATGATGGGGCTCAGGATATGGCTGGGAGGAAAGTGCTAGCCTGGCATGCACCAGGCCTTGGGTTCTATCCCTAGCACCAAAAACTAAACCACCAAGGGGGAAATGATGAAATAGATCATGTTTGGAACAAACAAATGCATTTATAAGTTTAACAAGGTGTAATCCAATGGGTCTCCAGTATGCATTCTATATTTATAGTTTTTTTTTTTTTTTAAACTTCCCATCCCTCCAGGGTACTCTCTGTTCCCTTTAGGGAACTGAGGTCAGGCAACATTAATTTCATTGACCCTGACTGCCATATTCAGTATCCAAATTAGTTCTCTTCTGATTTCCCTAACCGATAATTGCACTATATGTTTTTCTGATGTTGAGTTTCACAATTGAAGTTTGTAGGATCCTAATAATCAATCTCTCCCACATCCAAGTTTCAGTCAAGCAGGGGTTATTTAATCAGCAGAACATATGTCTTTGGTTGAGGGAGTTTTTATTTTTGGGTACTGAGGATTGAACCCAGAGGTGCTTAACCACTGAGCCACCTCCCCAGCCCTTTTTAATATTTTATTTAGAGAGAGTTGCTAAATGCCTCACTAAGTTGCTGAGGCTGGCGTTGAACTCATGATCCTCCTAATATTCATGTAGGCTGAGCTCCACTCCTGTTGGTTCTAGCAGAGTAGGCCTGGGCACAGATGGGCACAGCCCTGTGTATTCTGAACCCCCCACTCCCAAGGAGTCTGGTGTGTACTGTTCCTGGTTCAAAATGACTGTGACAAAGAGAATATGGTTCTTGAGAATCTCCAGCACTGCCACCAAGAAGCCATTTGGAAAAAAACCTGGAATGGCAGGTACTATTAAAGTGCCCCAAAAAAAGGCAAACGAGAATTTGTTTCTTATCCCATATGGGATCCTGCAGACATCAAGACTTGAAGGGTATTAATATAACGATCTCAAATACAGAAAGAAAAGTTGTAGAAGTTGAATAGGAATTTCAAGATCTTCTGCTCCTCTCCTGCTAGAACCCGAGTTTTCAGAATCAGGAT